CCCACCCCCGTGCTCTGCCCGGAAAAGGGCCAGTCTCCCCCCACCGCCGCACCAGGTGACCCCACTGGAGAGGCTCACCCAGGGGGCCTCATGCCTGTAAAGTGAGCCCTTCCGATTTTGAAGCAGTCTTGCTTGGTTGTAACAGTTCAGGAGTCATAGATGGGAGGTGGGGAACCTTGACCCAAGTCAGCGCACAGGCCGGCCACCTCCTGCATAATAATTACTGTAATGGGACCAGTGATAAACGCCTCAGTCCAGGAAGCTCGCAGGCGTTTATGAGTTTTCACTCATCCTACCTGTTTGAGTTAAATAGTATTTAAAGAGGAAGCCACTCCTGTTTAGAGATAGGAAAACATCCGGAATTGGCAGGTTGAGCCAAGGGCGATAGCATATGGCATTAACTAAAAAGAACATTCTGGTTGCAAATTTTAGGATGAACACAGATCCCTTTAGTCTGGTTTTATGTGAGTACCATTTTTAAAAACATTTTAGCAAACAATGCATTTTTTTTAATGTCAAGACAACTGTATAGTGTGTTCATTGTTCTTGTTATTTCATGATAGCCATGAATTGGATCTTGAAAAAAAAAAAACCATTAATTTTTTCATAGATTTCTAACCCAGTAAAGTGATTTTTATTTTTAGCCTTAATTATCCTGAACTTTCAAATCACAAAGGAAGAGTTATTATTTTTCTTTTGAGGCTCACATCTGACAGCGAATGTAAGGATAGATGGCCAGTGTATTTGTGTTTTTGTTTGCTTTTCAGTGGTGCTGGTGATTGAACCTGGGACCATCTACATGATGGGCGAGCATTCTAGCACTGAGCTACACCTCTGACCTTAAACTCCCTTTTTGAAGAACTTACTGCCTGCCTCTTTTGATGTAGCATTTTATTAAGTTTAGATGATTACTGATGTTTTTCTACTTCTGAATGAATTAAAATAGAGTTTTCAGAGAAGCGCTGTAGTGATTTGGGGCATTTCCTGTTTCCGTAGGCCCAGATTTTCTCTTCTTTGTGTGCTGCTGTTTCATCTAAGCTTGATAAGCTGATTTCGGAGGATCAGGTACACTAAAGGGTAAGTGTGTCCTGGGCTTGTAGAATGTTTCCCTTTCTTTTGCTTTCTCGGTCAGGAGCAGAGCTTTTCTTCTTCAACAAAATAACAGCATAGAACCCTTGTGGGACAGTGACTGATGATTACGGTTTCCAAGAAAACCCAAATTACAGATAGAAGGGATGGCAGGTATTAACAGCAAGAATTAATTTAGTGGCTATGAGACATACATTCTTTTGAAGTGATTCCTTGGAATTGTCCCTGAAAAAAATTATAATGAGTTTGTGAGTTCCTAAAGCTCTTAGCCACTGTTTCTGCATCAGCCTTCTTTGAACTCTCTTCAAAGCCAGAGGAAATATCCTTTAAAATACCCTTTGTTCAAAATGATATCATTGATAGCATTTGTGTACCAAATGTTCTTCCCTGAAAGTCATTCTGGCACAGGTGACAGATGTGAAGTGGCTGTTCTGGAACAGAGCATTTGATTTGGTCAGGAACCACTCCAGAACTAAAATTCTGTCATCATTGCTAGATAAGTGTTTCTGTTTTTGTTTTTCATCTTTTAAAAGTAGAGAGACCTTTGGCCACTAAGGAGCAGAAAACAAGCACTCAATCTAGAAACAGCCTGAGTGCTTGTGAGAACAGGATGTGGTGACTTATCCCAAATGAAATGAGTGGAACTTACACTAAAGCACATTTATAATGTCCTCCGTATCCCAGCTAGATACGTATGGACAGCTGTGTATTTATTCCTTCTCAGCAAGTTCCTCCTGTGTGCCGGTAGTAAACACAATGCACACAGTGAGGATCTCTGGCCCGAGATGAGTCTGTTGGGAAAGAACAGTATGTAAACAAGGAAGTGTAAGCATCCGCACTGCTACCGAAGAGAACATAAAACAGTGCTGTTCACGTCATGCAGCCAAGGATGGGGGAAGGCAGTGACCAGAAAGAAGAGGGTTAGATGGGTCTCTCCAGCAAGTGACAAGATACCAGTTAAACGAAGAACAAGGTGGGACCCCGAAAGCTGCTAGAGGGTTGGAGAGCTGGCTTAGCGGTTTGGAGAACGTGCTGCTCCTGCAGAGGGCCTGGCTTGGTTCCCAGCACCCACGTGCCAGCTCACAAGCATCTGTAACTGCAGTTTCAGAGGATCCGACGCTCTTCTGGCCTTCGCGGGCACGGTGTGCATGTGGGCATAGACATAGCTGCAGGCACAGCATTCATACACACACACTAAAAACAAACCTTAGAAACGAGTTTGGAAGATCACCGTGTGGCCAAGCTCTTAGTTAAACTAAAGTGGAGAATTTGGAAAGGTAAGTGGAAATGGTTACATGGACAGTGAGGTGTGCAAGGTGAGGGTGGTTATACGGACATTGAGGTGTGCAAGGTGAGGGTGGTCACGGACAGTGAGGTGTGCAAGGTGAGAGTGATTACATGGACAGTGAGGTGTGCAAGGTGAGGGTGATTACACAGTGAGGTGTGCAAGGTGAGGGTGGTTACACGGACAGTGAGGTGTGCAAGGTGAGGGTGGTCACGGACAGTGAGGTGTGCAAGGTGAGGGTGATTACACGGACAGTGAGGTGTGCAAGGTGAGGGTGGTCACGGACAGTGAGGTGTGCAAGGTGAGGGTGGTTACACAGACAGGTGTGCAAGGTGAGAGAGTGGCACATAGAAGCCTGGATTGGGCACAAGCTCCACAGCACACGCTGGGGGAGGTTTGCCCCTGAGAGTCTGTTGTTGAGGAAATGGGATCTCAGAAGATATTCTGGATGTAGAGCTGATTGACAAAGCACAAGAGTGGAAGCCTTTTTACCCTCGCGAGTCTGAACAAGTCCTCATCTGGAAGACAGCAGTTTGACAACTAAATACATCCTTTCCCCATCACCCTACAAAATGTTATCTCCAAGTGGAATGAGACATCAAATTATAGATATGTAGAGTTCATAACGGGGTAAAAAGTGAAATGACCAGAGGAAGTTGTAAGGTGCTAAACATTAATTTCAGCACTGCGGTTGAACCTGAAGATTTGAGATTACTAATGTTCTCCTTCTGAAGCACATTTCATGGTGTCTTCGTTGACTGTACGAAACTGCTAGTCCTTGGTGTATCATCATAGCAAATTCAGAGAACTGATGCAGAACTTACGTTAACTTGAAGCAGGGTGTAGTTAAATACACTTGGTACTGAAATACATGTTAGTCTGCCCATGTTCATTAATATTGTCTGTAGGCTAAGGATTACAGGAAAGTATTAATAATAAAGCTGTATATACTGATACTGTTCCTTATTGCCTTTGGGTTGCAGGAGTCAGTGGTACAGGACACTGTTTGGAGAAATACTTATTACTTTAAAATTGTAAGTATTTGTTCTCATCTCTAAAAGTAAGAATGCAATTGTGATTGAGTTAGGAGTTTGAAAGGATTAGCTGAAGGAGTCTTGAAGCTTTAAAAGAAAAGGAATAACCTTCTAATTTCTCAGTCTTTATCTAACCCAGAGCAATAACTTTTTAATAAATGGTTTACTGGCTTATGTTGCTTAATATATAACAATGATCACTTAATACATAGTAATTATGCAGTTGATTGACCATCAGTATTTTGAGTTTGCATGGAACAGCATATTTTTCTTACCACACTAGACCAGTGATCTACACTACAAATACTTGTGGAATGAATGACTTCTTAGTCATGGCCATTTCTTCATCTAGCCCACATTTGTGAACTACTTTGTGTGGTTTTGGTACAGGGCCCACTACTCATTCATATAACGCTAGAATGATTTGTATGGCAGGCACTATGCTTAAGCTCATCATTCATAGGGGAAACAGGTCAGAAGACAATGGACTGAATTCTGGAGCTTGGCTTCGTTAAGCATTCCTAATGCAAGCATTCTCAAACCTGCACCAAAGGACCAAAGTGTTTATTCTTTGTTGCTAAAATTAAGCAAGAGAAATGGATTTCTTTTTATTTGCATGAAAAATAAACTATAATTTGTCATTTTCTTCTGAAAATTTTCTGGAACAGTTACAACAACTTTTTATATTGATAGAAGGCAGCATAACAAGTAGTAGCTAATAGTGTGGGAAAATTTAGAACTACCCTTCCTTACTTTGAACATCTAATTCAAGGTCATTTATGGCCAAGCTCTACTTTCACATTATACACTTAATGGTGTATTATTATTTGAATACACAGGCATATATTTTTTGCTAGTAAAACTGTTCTTAATTTATATGACTGTATAACATATGCACATAGCATTCTTTTCTGAAGAACATTGTACTTGCTTGCTGAGATGTGTCCTAACCTAGTTTCTTAGCATTTTGTCATGGTTATCTTTCTGATCCTGACTTCCTGGGAATGTTTCTGTGTCATCTCGGTAGAGAATATTTGTTTCTGGAAAAGATGATGGATTCTGTGAACATCATGATACTGTAGCAGAAATAAAAGTTATTCTCAACTTCACCCCTTCACCCTGCTTTGAACAACAAAAGTAAATGTAGCCCTGAAAGTTGTCTGCTCTGTTGCACATGGTGGGAAATATGGTTAAGTAATGCTTTGAGGTGCATTGCAAACTCTCAAAAAAAAAAAATTAATTCTGAATCAGGTACTGTTTATATAGTTAACCATACATGAGAAAAGAATACAGTCTTCTAACTTGAGAAGAAAGGCCTTGCTGTTGTTTCGATTACAGTAGCATTAGCAGAGATAGGTGTTCTACTTCAGAGTCCGCATTTATCTTCCACAAACATGAATAGCTCCAAGTGCAAGAGATTTCCCTGAAAAGTACTTGGATCAAATTGAATCATCCAGAAGGTAGGTTAGCAGAAACCCTAGGGCTTTTGTTCTCTTCTTCCCTTTGTCTGATTTCACCGGACATGAGTCCATTTCACTTCTAAGGATTTCCTGGTGTGCCAAAATTATAGCAGTGAGGTGAGTTTGCTTTTTCCTCATCTAGCATTCATTCAGTAAATGTTGCTTAAACCACTCCAGTGTGCCCATTACTGCGCACTCACTGGTCAGTCACAAAGGTAGTCAGTCACTGAGTGCTCATCCCTGACAGTGACTCCACACAGTGTGTCACAGTTTTCTAAGCACTTGACATTACATCAACACACTGGATCCCTGGGGGAGAACCCGTGAGGTAGACACTGCTTTCTCACCCATTTTGCAGATGAGGAAAGTTGGTCTGTCAGTCTGGCCCAGAGTCAGCTCTTAACATCCTGCTGTCCTGCCATGCTTTCTCCAGACCTTTGCAGACCACTTACTCACCTGCTGCTTGAGTCGCACTTTACATTTGCTTGAGCACTTATGCTCAATTGGTAGCATTAGTAGCCAGCTATTAGTTATTGAGTGCTCTAGCCCTTGCTATAATTTGAATTATTTGTGCTTAAGGTCTGCTTTTTCATTGTACACCTGATATGCATATTGGTCCATATATGTATGTTGAATGAATATTAACAACCAAGAAAATTTAGGTGTGACGTTACTCTAGTTAATTATGAAGAAAAATGATGGCCAAAAATTCTCGTTGTGTGTGACACAGTGATGGGCGGAGCATGTGTGCACCTGATCTGTATACATGTTGATGTGCATTCATGTTGTGCAGGGAGGAAACACAAGTTTCCATCTTTTCTTTTTTCTTTCTTTTGGGAGGGTAGGGTGGGGTGGGGTCTAGTTGAGGACTCACTGTAGAGACCAGGCTGGCCTCAGACTTCCTGCAGTCCTCTTGGGTCAGAAGTGCTAGGATTATAGGCGTGAGCCAGCAAGCTCTGCAGAAGTGCCCTCTGCACTGTTGCGTCATCAGGAAATGAGCTGCCAGTTGGTGGCAGCTCCAGCTGTGCTTTCCTGCTGTGCCTGATCTGCCCTCTGTGTGTCACCCCTAGTCTGACCGTCCTGCTCCAGCCTACCTGCCATGGGCTGCCGGGATGTCCACGCAGCCACTGTCCTCTCTTTCCTGTGTGGCATTGCCTCTGTGGCTGGCCTCTTCGCGGGGACTCTGCTTCCCAACTGGAGGAAGCTGCGACTGATCACGTTCAACAGGAACGAGAAGAACCTGACTATTTACACAGGCCTGTGGGTGAAGTGTGCCCGGTACGATGGGAGCAGTGACTGCCTGATGTACGACCGTACTTGGTACTTATCAGTTGACCAGCTGGACTTGCGTGTCCTCCAGTTTGCCCTGCCGCTTAGCATCCTGATCGCAATGGGTGCCTTGCTCCTCTGCCTGATTGGAATGTGTAACACAGCCTTCAAGTCCTCGGTGCCTAACATCAAACTGGCCAAGTGTCTAGTCAATAGTGCAGGCTGCCATCTGGTGGCTGGACTCCTCTTTTTCCTGGCAGGCACTGTGAGCCTCTCTCCATCCATCTGGGCCATCTTTTATAACACTCATCTCAACAGGAAGTTTGAGCCGGTCTTTACCTTTGACTATGCAGTGTTCGTCACTATTGCTAGCTCAGGGGGCCTGTTTATGACTGCTCTTCTTCTGTTCATTTGGTACTGTGCATGCAAGTCGTTGTCCTCTCCTTTCTGGCAGCCACTGTACTCTCATCCTCCCAGTATGCACACTTACTCACAGCCCTATTCATCACGTTCCCGCCTCTCCGCCATTGAAATCGACATTCCGGTAGTTTCACATAGCACTTAGCAGAGATATAATTAATTGTTAAAAGTGCGTATTGTAGCCTCACAATCCCCTGCGTGAAGAGCCTTTTTGGACCTGTATACATTTTTTCCATTGTTCTAGTCAGTGGAGCCAAATTTGTCTATCTTGGTAGAATGAAATGCTGCTAGATTTCATGAGGTATATATTACATTCTTCTAATGTGAAACATTCCTTTTCTTCTGATACTAGAAGGGTCTTTAGCCTCCTTGTTGATGTCTGATCAAATTCATGAAAGGACTTGTGATAGCAGGTGAGGCCATGAAAGCAGCATGGTAAGGAGCAGTGCTGTTGTGCTTAGTCCTTACCAATTTTTAGATCCTTTATTGTCTCTGATGACTTAAACTGAAAAGAGCAGTTTCAATACAAGGAATTTCAGTCAGATAAGGATTGCAGTTTGTTTCCAGAACTCTGCCAGCTTGCGGGTATAATTTTGTTCTCTCGGGACTAATTGAGTAGGCGTCAGTACACTGAAGATTACTACTATCTTCTACCTCATTTCAGTGAAAAGTAAAATGCATTTTAAATGTCAGGGTGAGGCCAATATTTAAATATGGTGAACATTTAGCTGCTTTTTTGGTTTTCAGATGGTTCTTGCTATGTATCCTTAGCTGGCCTAGATTTCACTCTGTAGACCAGGCTGCCCTCAAACTTCCCACCATTCTCCTGTCTGCATCCTGAGCCCTGATTACAGGCATGCCCAACTACATCTAGCGCACCATAATTTTCAGTTACTGATTATATTGTTGGAGTTAAAATGTGCCAAGTGACCGGTTGTGGCTTCATCTGAAGCAAGAAACCCTTTCCAAATACCCATCAATCAGGTAGTACTCATACCCTGTACAAGCGAGTGGCTAAGACAAATGAGTAAAAGGTTGTTGAAGCCAAACGCTTGCCTTTTAGACCTAAGTGGTAGGGTACAGGAGCCTGTTCTCAGTGACAGCATAAAAGATTCAGTTGGTGGCTACTGTTTCAGTAATGCATGATGTAAATGGTAGTAGCTTGACTGTTCACTTTCAGCTTCATCACTGGCTACTTGTCCATTAGCGTTTTGCTCTGCCTAACACTTGAGTAAGTACTTTAGAGGATAGGATACACAAAAAGGAAGATGTAGCTACAACTGTGTAGAAATTTTGATCTTATACAGATCAAACTTATAACTGACAACCAGCAAAAAGCTTGTCTTTACTGGCAGCTGGTGAACTTCTCAAGCATTGATCCAGGAAACAATTTAGATGAGCCATGTCTCCCTGGCACAGACAGCAGCACTATCCTGGACGCTAGAAATCTACTTAAGTTAGGTCTCCTCATAGCTTCCAAGCTGTAATAACAGTTTCAGATAATGAGAATGGGCTAGATAGTAGAGAGATTAAATTGTACCCTTTCTACCTCTGAAATTAAGATGATACACTAAAGACAAGTTTTAAAAATGTCTCCTGATGTGATATCAAATGGACAAAACCATGTTAATACTAAAGTAACACTTGGACATTGAGAGTTGTTGGGTCTTAACTCCTAGGGGTTTGAGCTGCTCATTAATTGGTATAATTTCTATCCACTAGCATTATGTTTGTAAGGATTGTGGTATATTATAGTTATAGATTTTTACAAGCGGCTGAATTTATGAAAAACAGTTCATGATGCCTCTTTTGCAAATCCGAGTATTTCTGTAGAGATAAGTCCAACACTATGTAGGCAAATAAATCCGATTGTATAATTTTTAAATGCTGTCAGTACAAAGCATGCACATCTATGGTTTTTAAATTATAGCTTCTAATCGTTTTTTCACCTCTGATTCCTCTCATTCATAGATAGAGCTGAGTGTTGATCATTCCAGGACAGTGGCAGCTGGAATTTTGAGATTGCTGGTAGTTTTTCTCCTTTGTTAGTTAATCTTAGTTTTTCTCTCACTAAACTTTTGTTCAAAAGGATCAAGAATTCCACCATCCCTTGGTCTTAGTATAAAGAGAGTTAAAAGTAGGGCCAGGCATGGTGGCTTTTGACGTTAATCCCAGTACTCAGGAGGCAGGGACAGGTGCATCTCTCTGGACATCCTGGTCTCCATAGCAAGTTTGAAGACAGTCTGAGCTACACGGTGAGACCCTGTCTCAAAAAAATTAAAAAGAGAAAAAGAAAGCAGGTAAGTGGACTCAGCAATGAGATACTAAACAGTTTGCAGCTCACCGGGTTGTAACTACAAACGTTAAGCTTTCTTATGAGAGACTTTTGGCATCTTCATGTAGCCTCCAATTAATATTTATTATGAATCCACTCAGGAAGAGAAACAGCTGTTTCTGTATTATCTTTTTAGTGTTCCAGATTTGGCATAAATAGCTATTTTTTAAAGCCATCAAAGGAAAGCATGCATTTACAATCCTTCTGAGTCACCAGAGCACTCCTGGGGCTATTATTGAAATGGGGTGGATAACTTCTTTTGTTGTTTAAAAGCTGTTAATTTTAAAGGCCTAAGGAGCCAGCTTGGCAGACAACCTCAAATGTGAGATAGTACACTGGGTTTGTGTCATCCAGCTTCAGAAAAGAATAAATTCACTCTGCTTGTATATATGCCCTATGATGGATAGTATGTGCTGTAAAACACAAGGTAAAATCCTCAGTGGGTGTGGTGTACTGCCTCGTGTTTATTAAAAGATGTATTTTTACAAGTTTGTCTCTGTTCTTTTCTCAGCTTTAAGGTAAAATAGTTTGAGAAGTGTTCTTCAAGTGTGTCACTGAAAATAAGGCCCTCCTAAAGACTGTGGACTGGGAGCTAGGAGAATTAGGGAGCCACTGAGATACAAGGAGTAGTGGATGAATCTCATCTTCCATTCACTGGGCTTTTAAACCAGTCCACAGAAATGCACTGAATAAAGTTGATGGCCGAATTTTCTTCATCAGTGAACTTCTATGGTTAGGCTGGTGATTGGGAATCCGAAGTATTTAGGTGGGGGGCATCTTTCCCATTCAAAAGGAAAGGGTTACAGGAAAGTGTCCTCAAGTCTTTTTAAAACCTGTGATGAGCTTTTATTTTGGAATTACAGCCATCTGGAATCATTCCAGACATGAACTCTCCACTGAAACCCATGGATTTATTATGGACTCTTAGGTGGCAGAACCATATGTTACACCAGAAATCAGCAGCTTCAAATTGAGCATCCCAGCAAATGATACTAAAGCATATTAATCCAGAGTCTGCACTCAATCCTGCGGGACTGTAAAGGTGATCAAATACTAGAGAATCATTTTATGCTAACCAAATCACAAGAGTCTGGATTTTAGCCAGAAATGAGAATACACATCTTTTGCATCCATTATCAAGATGTGCCTAGGGCCTCTTGAAAAACAGCTATTTCAGTGTTGAGGCAAGAAAAATGCAAAATGGACCCAGCACACCCGACATAAGAAAGAAAATGCCCTTGCAGAGCCTTGAGACAGGGAGGGGCTTGTACTTGGCTCTAATGAGTGTACCAGACTCTGCTGACTCCCAACGAGAGGCCTTACCTTCTTGTTGGAGGGAGGAAGGCTGGAGGGTTGGGAGGAGGGAAGAGGGGGATCTGTGGTTGGTATGTAAAATGAATAAGAGATTTCTTAATAAAGAAAAAAAAATGCTCTGAGAGCCATGAAGATGGCATTCAGTTTACATAGCTAACTCAAGGAGCTCCTACTAGCCAAATCTGAAACACTGAGCATCGCAATGAGTAATAGTAAGGGGCTTGTAGCCCACTGAGTATAGTAAGCTATGTGATCACAATCATAGAAATGACAACAGAAGTCACTTCTTACAGTTAAAAAAAGTATAGAAAAAAATCATTGATAAATAAATCAAGATAGGCCACCAACATCTTTAAATAGGGTTCTTTTCTTCCCCCAGTGCTTGCTTGCTTATTTTTTTTTTTTGTTTTGTTTTGATTTTTTTGTTTTTTGTTTTTCGAGACAAGGTTTCTCTGTGTAGCTTTGTGCCTTTCCTGGAGCTCACTTGGTAGCCCAGGCTGGCCTCGAACTCACAGAGATCCGCCTGGCTCTGCCTCCCGAGTGTTGGGATTAAAGGCGTGCACCACCACAACCACCACCACCACCACCCGGCTGTTTTTGTTTTTCGAGTCAGGGTTTCTCTGTGTAGCTTTGGAGCCTGTCCTGGAACTTGCTCTGTTCCCAGGCTGGCCTTGAACTCAGAGAGATCCTCCTGCCTCTGCCTCCCAAAGGTGTGTGCCATTACCGCCTGGCTTATTTTTTATTTTTATGTATATGAGTATCTTGCCTGTTACCACTTGAATATCTGGAGCCTTCAGAGGCCAGAAGAAGAAGGCATCAGATCCCCTGGAACTGGAGTTACCAACAGTTGTGAGCTACCACATGGATGTTAGGAATCCAACTAGGGTCCTCTGGAAAAACAATCAGTGTTCTTAACTGCTGAACTACCAGCCCAGGCCCTGCCATACACTTTTTCTTGCCTGCATTTATAGAAAATAAACTTGTGAAGTGGAAAGGTCAAAAGGCTGCCACGAATCCTGGCATCCCTCCTCTGGGGTAAGCAAGTGCCTGGAAGGCTCACCTTGTCATTTGTCAGCTCTGACTATGCAAACCAGGCTGATCTTGAACTCACAGAGACACCTACCTCTGCCTCCCAGGTGTTGGGATTAAGGGGTGCCACCACACCAGGCTTCTGGCTGCTGCTTTAAGAGCTCAAAGGTAGTGGATTGCTAGTGCCCAGTTGTGGTCCCTGCGAACCGACTGTATGCTATGCTTCCCAATACACTCAGGACAGGTTGGTAGCTTGAAACTGGTCACAGTAGAAGCATTTGTGCCTCTGAAATTACCTAATGCTGCAAGTCCGTGCTTTCCTCGGATAGCTGGTTATTGCACATTTACCAGCATACTGCTGCCCAGAAAAGATTAAATTGCTGAGTTTCAGATTAGTTAGTAAGGAAATTAGGAATCCTAGCCAATGCTGGGAGTTGTAAAGCTTTGTTGACTGATGAAGGAACCACCTGAAAAGCCTCTTAACAGATGTTCCTATCTCCACTACTACTCTAACTCCCATCCCGACCAAGGACTCATCCTGTACACAAGCAACAGAATGATGTGATAAAATGTAGCTGGTCTCTGCTACTCAGCATTATAGCAGCCATCTCCTCACAACTGTGTTTGCGATCAACTATGCTATGCGGTTGCAGGAGCGGCAAGCAATTCCTATTTTAAAACATGTATTTTTAGTCTAACCACCAGTATCAGTGGTCACTCATTTAAGCAAGTACCATACCTATTTTCTCAGCTGGAAGAGGGAAATAGTCTATTCTAAAACTCATTAGCAGTTGAGTTGACTAGCTTTCCCATGATAAAAGCTTGGGGTGCTAGTTGTGAGCTAAGGCGGTGAGGAGGAAGCAGAGACATCCTGACTTCAGTAAATGACATTTAATCTGATTGTTTTCCTAACACTGAATCAGATGGTTTCAAACTCCCAGAGAAGACACAGAGTCCACTTAGTAGGAGAGGAAGGTGAGATTAGTGGAAGAACCACAGGGCTGATGATGTTAAGCTAGGTAAAACAAGCTTGGACAAACAACAGAACAGGATCATTCCTAACATCTTGTGGTAAGGGAGACTTATCTATAGCTCAGCTCAAAGGAAATCTGTACCCAAAAACAAATGATAGATGCAAATTCCACTTTTTCAAAGGACAAAGAGCATGTAAGTATTAAAGTAAAGAAATGGAAATTTCAAGTTGTTTCAAATTGCAATGGCAAAGAATGAAGTTGTCCTCTTGTTTGGTTGTTGTTTTATTTTTGGCTTTTTTTGTTTTTTTGTTTGTAAAATCAGCCCCACCATCGTCAGTTACATGTCAAGAGTCTGGCAGCCGGTGTTTCTATGTTGAAGTGTTTGTTTTGGTTTTGACAGATGCCTCTGAAATCTATTTTAGAAGCAACGGCACTCAGACTGCCAAAGAAATTAACAATGAATGACACAGGCATGAATAATGCCGATGCCAGCTAGAAGTACTACCACACACTTCCCTAACTTCACTGCAACTGTCTGTGGGGGCTCGGAGACAGGAAGACAGGACCAGCTTCCTGAGCACTGTGCAATCGCAGTTTAAGGACTTTTAGGTTGCTTCTGTGTCCTGGCTATTGTGAGTATAGCAGCAATGAGTATGGCCAAGCAAGTACCTCCGAAAAACACTTGAATGTTCAACACCTTAGTCATCGGGGGAAATGCAAGACTACTTTGAGATTTCATCTTACACCCATCAGAAACCTAGGATCAATAAAAAAAAAAAAAACCTGACAGCTCATACTGGCAAGGATGTGGAGTAGTGGGAACATTTATCCATTGCTAGTAAGACTGCCAACTTGTACAACCACTATGGAAATCACTATGGCAGTTCCTCTTCAAGATGGGAATCAATTGGACCTTACGATTCAACTATACCACGAAAGATGCTTTATGCTACTACAAAGACACCTGCTTAACCACGTTTATTGCTGCTCTATTCAAAATAGCCAGAAATTGGAAACAACCTAGATGTCCCTCAAAAGATGACTGAATAAAGAAAATATAAATTTACAAAGTGGAGTTTTATTCATCCAGTGGTGAGTATCTTTAATCCCAGCATTCAGGAGGAAGAGGCAGGTGGATCTCTGAGTTCAAGGCCACCCTGGTCTACAGAGTGAGTTCCAGGACAACTAGGGCTGCATTGTGAAACCGTGTCTTAGAAAACAAAACAACAGCAACAAATGAAATCATGAAAGTCGAAGGTAAATGGATGGAATTAGAAAAAAAAAAAAACAAAACAAAAACAAAAACATCCTGAATGAGGCAACTTGGACCCAGAAAGACAAATGTGGCATTTGTTTCTATGTGGATATTAGTTGTTGAGTTAGTGAGAACCAAGCTACAGAACAACAGAGGTTAGGTATAGAGTAAGGGACTGGGTGAGGTGGGGTTGTAGAAGTAACCGTCTCATTCAATAAGAAACACAGAGCCAATACAGAGATGAAAGCCAAGAGGTCAGAGCAATAGCTAAGAGCTAAAAACCTTACCCTTCACTGTCACTGTTGTCCTACCTCTCCGAAAGAGACCTACTTCCTGTGTGTCTTTCTTTTTTATAGAGTTTCTGTCCTGCCTTCTCATTGGTTGTAAACCCAACCACATGACCTCCTAGTCACTGCCTGTCTGTACAGACCTCCAGGTCTTCTATGGTTGGTATTGAGATTAAAGGCGTGTGTCTCCAATGCTGGCTGTATCCTTGAACACACAGAGATCTGCCTAGCTCTGCCTCCCAAGAGCTGGGATTAAAGGCGTGCACCACCACCACCACCACCACCACCACCACCACCACCACCACCACCCAGCTTCTACGATGGCTTGCTATTAGCTCTGACCCCAGGCAACTTTATTTATTAACATACAAATAAAATCACATTTCAGTACAAATAAAATATCACCATATGGGGTGGAGCAGATAGATCTCCCCAGGAAAGGGAAAAAGAATAATTAGTATGGATGAATTGGGGGAGGGGGGCATACTGGAACAGGAGGACCAAATGGAGAGGGGAATGGAAGAGGAGGACAGGGAGACAGCTGAAATTTAAGGGCCATATGTAGTATTTAAAGCTAATATTGAAATCTAATACAGTAGAAGCTTCCTAAATTATATACATATATGAAG